TCGAATCGAATAGTGCATGGCATGTGCTCAAAAAGAGGCTTGCATCTTTATATTTAGATGATGAACGATAAAGTCTCAGAAGAGACGAGAGAAAAGAATAAAGAAAAGAAGAAAAACAAAGAAAAGATCACGAAAAGAATGCATATTGGAGACACTGTGAACTTTTGTAACCGATACACATGTTAGACAAACTAGTTTTATTAGAATTTCGTTATTATGATATCAAGCAAAGTACGACCAAACAGCATAGAAAGAAAGAGCATTTTCCGCTCTATCATCCTATGTAAAAAGAATTTTTTTATCAACCGTAAAATATGGTAATAAAATGTCGTTGCCACTACTTTTGGATATCCCTAAGTATATTATTGAACAGCTATTGTTTAATTGATTAAATGGGAAAAAAAGTGTTTGATTCTCTGACATATATCAACAACAAAAATATTTCAACAGTACATTGGAAGCATCTTGGACATTGTGCCGACATACAATGTACTATTTCCAAGCGTTGGCACAAGTGATGCAGCGGTTTCAGTACATTCATTCCATGCATAGATGATGATTGTTTGTGCATCAACTGTGTCATTGTATTGACATGTAAAATTAATTGCACTTTGAATCAGTTGCTGTAATTCTTCGACGCTTGGCTGAAGATAATGCTCCGGGCCTTCATGGACCCATGGATCAGGTTGTGCAGCACGTGGACGAGAATCCCAGCCAGTGGGAGTTATTGGAACCATCGTAGCTCCAATCTGATGTGCAGATTGCCACCATCTAAATATAAGACTGAAGATAAATGAAATTGTTTTCAAATGATTAGTTGACTTTACCGTTGAGCTGAATGAAGTAATTCGACAAATGGAGTTCCCTATCAGTTAGATAGATAAAGGAGAACCATTGATAAAAATTATTTTTCTTACTTCTTTGGTTCCACCAGGTAGTGCATATGTTGAAATGGCATCAAATCCAAGTGATAAAGCATGTGACTGAACTCTTTGAACATTGAAATCCATCAAAACCAGATAGGGATTTTGAAGTCCTATTACGAAAAGATGAAATTATGGTGGATATATAATTCTAATTCTAATAAACCTTGACTGATGACCAATTGTCTAAACTGTTGAAAAATTTGTCCACTTTCTGTCCATCCTCCAGCACACTTCTCTGCTTCTGCATCATCAAATTGAAATAAATAAAGAAGTGGTCGACCTCCTTTAACAGTTTGAAATTGTGGATGTTTCATGAGATTAATGTATTGTTGTTGAAAAATAACATCACAAGGAGATGAACCAAGTAGAACTAAAGTAAAGTTTAACAAAGATTTGTATGAACTGGAAAGAAATAAATTTAATCCATAAGCTGGATTTTCTGGACAATAGAGATGGGATGTTTGTATATAATATTGCTGGCAATATGAATTATTTGTGGCACAAGTAGGTCCAAATGCACAGTATGTATCAAATGCCCAATAATCAATACCTGCATGTTTTGCATAAAGAATTTCTTGATCCATTATACTTTGTTGATCCGCATTAAATGAAATATTGTTTGGTGAAACAACAGATACATAAAATGGAATACGATAATGAAACTCTGTTGGACTTAAATCTCGATGTACGTAATATGAAATTTCATCATATTGACCATGGACTTGATTCCAAGCATCCCAACGAATAACTCCAACTGATGGCCTTTGTTTAACATCAAGTGCAGTTGAAATAAAGATTGGTGATAGAAGAATCATTGCACCAACGTAGACAAAAGATGATAGCATGTTGAATATTTATTATTTTTCTTTTCACTTGATAAAAGACGCACACGCGCACCTATATTTATAACATTGTTGTTATCTAAACGGTGTTTAAAAGAGTATCTCCATATTTTAAATTGCTTATCAATCTCAAACAACAATAGATATTGTGCTGATTTGTTCATTGTTTGAAGCATGGACCATGCTATTTTCTTCTAGATGAAATAAGTCGATTGATCGTTTCACTATATTCGGTGACGCAGGAATTTCGTCTGAAGAATACTGAAACTAACACATTATTTTGAGCAGTTTATTATTTCCATAGGAGAGTAGACACAATAACAATCCATAACCCAACCTCACTGTCACTCTCAAAATATGTAGAGTTTTAAGAGAGGATTTGTATCTGATTTAAAAGAAAAGAATTAGAAAGTTTAGATAGGTGAATCGGTGATTAGAGGAATCATATCCACTCCTATGCCTATTGCAAAGATCGCATCATTGAATGAGAGAAACAGGAGAATGTGCTAAATGAGATAGAACAAAGAGATGAAATGAAAAATCTATCTTCTCTTCGTAACAAATGAAACTGCTCCTTTATTTGATACCAGATCAGAGATGGGACCGGTTCGATTTTTGAACGAACCGAGCCGACCGACCGTAACCGAAACCGGTCCGATTGTTAACATTTAAAAAACTCGATCGCTTGCGTTCGATTTGGTTAAAGATTCTTTTTGGGTTACGGTCGGTTCGGCTGACATTTTTTAAAAAGTTCGGTCGGTTATATTCGGTTCGGTTGCAAAGAATTGAAATTATTTTTTTATTGCAGCTCAATGATTTTTTTCGCGAAACATAAGAAAAAAATGATGAAACCATATGATTAGATGTCACTTTTTACTCAAATGACGTTACGCATTTTTTGATTGGCTGTAAAAGCTAAGTAAGTCATAATCCAATGTTATGATTCAATGAATAATCTTCATAATTCTTTCCTTTTTTAATGTTCAGTTGATGAGTTAGTTGCTGATGAAGTGTTGAATTGTGTACTAGAAGAAGATTGGTCGTTTGAACACAACAACAAACATTCATTTTCATTCATACTACTGGAACGATTAGCGCTAAAGGGTGTAATTCTTTTCG